TATATATATATATATATAAACTAAAACAAACCAACAACATTTGCTCATGAAAAGGAGATAAAATCTAACTGCACTGAAAAATACAAATATATTATCACCCCGGTCCCAACTGGGTTTTTTTTCTCAACCACATTTTTAACAAGGTTCAGAAGACTTACCATAGGCCTGCGGTTTTCTACCAGGTGGATGCCAACGATGCCCAGAAATGCCCCAAAACTCAACTGGTTGAGGACAGCAAGCAAAATGGAGATTATTCTACAAAAATTCAGGCTAAACTGTCAAAATAGAGTTATGAGCAGGGGGAGGTGCTTGCCACTCACGGTGATCCCCGGGTAATACCCGGCCACCGGAACGTTGTCCGTGCGAGTGGCGGAGATCAAACCCACGGCCAACACCACCAGAGATAAAGTCAGTAGAGCCACGGTTACCCACAGAGCAGTTTTCTTCCTCCGTACGTACGCAACTGTGGACGGGAGATACTCTCAAAGGGGGGCACCGCAATCAGGAGAAAAATGACGCTGATTCAAAGGGGCCATGACACGGGGCCCTAGAAAATAGTGTTCAACCATTCACATCGATGGGCAATTTCCGGTCTTTGCTGACCCTAAACAATCTTTTCCGTTTGTGGAATGGGGGAGGAAGCCAGAGGAAAACCCTGCAGAAAATGTGCGATCTCCACCAATGAGGGCCAGGGTCTGGATTTGGACCCTCAACCTCAGATCTGTGAGGTGGATGTGTGAACCACTATGACACTCAACTAAACTAGTCTTCATTCTTCTTTTGAAGTTGCTTTTTGGGAAAAAAGAAACCAACAGCAACAAAGAAGTGCAAGCAGTATATAAACAGGAAAACTGATTCAGTAGAAATATTTTGATTTCAGGGGTACTTGCTTGCATTGAGGTTCAGTTCAATGAGAAAATACGACACAATACCTTCTGGGTCCAGGATGTCGGTGTCCGGTGGCTGTGGCTGAGTGGTCTGGCGAGCTTCTGGCTGTTGCATTTTGATTCGGAAAAGATGAATGAAGAAAAAGGAAGGATCTCAACAAGCTTGCTTGTAGTTTTTAGGTACCACAACTATTGCATCCTCCAAGGTGTCCGCTCACAATTGACACATGATACACATTCAAACATTTTTGCCCCCAGAAGAAGTGTTCACCACAGCTGAACCTGAGCTCACACGGCTCAACTTTGCCTGAAGCAGAGAGAGAGAGAGAGAGAGAGAGAGAGAGAGAGCGAGAGAGAGAATGAGCATCCACAGTCGTTCACTTCTTTCCTCATACATCTTACATGAGCTTGATTCAGCAGGTTGGTGTTATGTGACTGCTCATCATGCTGTTGAGTTGAAGAGGGTGTTTGAGTTTACAGCGCCCTCCGATGGTCAATCCATCCAAAAATAGAAACGCTGTACTGTATTCATGAGTAGAGATGGGTTCTAATAACATTTTAAAACAAGTCTAAACAATACATAAGTTGAATCATGTACTTCAATCAATGCAGCTGGATTAAAGTCCGCCATTCTTTTTGACATTTATTTCAGAAAAAGCCGACTGCGTGGCTCAGGCACTGGCTCATTCAGATGACGTATGTGACTCTGCTGAACGCTTTCGGCCGCTGACCCGCTAAACAAATTGGCTCCGCGCTGCCATCTGCTGGAGGAAGGTGGTAGCTTCACCTCTGCTTTTTAAAAAATCATGAAAATCGATTCTGAACTTTGACACCACTGAAATAAGCAGAGTCAATGTTTTTTCATCTGTTTAATAAATAAACAGAACCCAAGAAAATGTCTTTCCATTGGAAGGTTGTTAACAGTAATATATACAGTATAGAAACAGAAAACACATTTAATTGCACAAGTACGTCCCGTACATTCATTTCCACAGAAGACATAATGCCATAGACGAGCTAATGAGCAGTATGCAGAGCAGCAAGTTGAGCAGGCACGATAAGTAGGAATGGCATTTTTTTCTCGTACATACAATAACAACAGTTGCAAGAAAATTTTACATCAACTATTTGGAATTACCTGCAATGCAACATAAATTGGTTTAAAATGTTATTGGTAAGTTACAATAAAGCCTGCTTAAAATAATACTGCGTTGGAGGCCAATCTGGGATGAAATTGACAAATCTATGGTATGTAAAACATTAAACAAAAATGAGTGTTAGAGCACACCACGGACAACGCTACTACTGTCTAATTAAAAAAAAAAAAACAAAAACAAAAAAAAAAACAGTGCGACACGTTTGAAGTTTGGACACATCAAGCATGAAGGGGAAAAAAAAACCCAGCACAATACGCCGCAGGCACATAAGAGCTGAATTGAAATGAAACCTCATTCATGTAGGTCGTATTCACACCTGTAACAAATTTCTGGCTGAGGTTATTGCTGCCAAAGGAGACTCACTCAGTTGGGTCACATATTTGACATCCATGCCCTGTTGTTTAGCTTGATGAAAAAATGGAAACGAAATGTTTGTGTAATACGAGTTTAAGACAACTTGTCTGTTCTTAGGACTTCGATCAAGATCAGATCACATTTTATGGCCACTTTAAGCAGCGATCAGGGTAATTCCAAAGCGTTCACATGCATGTTTTTTGCAACTGTATGGAGAAAAGTAAAATGGGTACAACAACTACAAAAGTAGAACATAATGTTGTTTACATTCATTGGAAAAACAAAAATTACAAAATTAGTTTTTGGTGATACTCGAATGTGTGTATACAGCTGCATTTAACAGAATTACACTAATGATAAAATAAAATTAATGGAAGAAAGAGGAGTTTGGACCGTGAGTAATAAACGTCTTCAAAAAAGGTCAGCTTAAAAAAAACAAAACCAAAAAAAAACTTTTTTTCGTACAGCCCCCATTAAATGAGATGAGATGAGATGACAAAACCTAACTTTACTCTGCTGCCAAATGAATGCAAACTGGATTGCCGCCGCTGGATTTCCCACCTCGCAGCAGCAACGAGAAGAAACCGAGTCCAGTCATGTGATCGCGGTCGTTCTTCGTGACACCCATGCATGAGTTGTCACTCTCCACAGGATTGGTGCCAGCAGCAAGCTGAGGGTGCTGACGCTGAGAACCAGCAGGTACACCTGAGGAGAGCAACATACCAGACATAAAAAGCGACATGAAATACTTTTTCGTACATTCGATGAATCCTTGTTAATTGTTCAGTACTTTCTAAAACGTAACTCAAAACTCGTTTTGGGGCAGTTAAGAGAGCAAACAATGCAGACCAGCCACAAGACGAGGGGCAAAGGTCTCACCTACGATGCAGCGCCGGGCAAACAGTCACAATTCAAACAACAACGAGACAGCTCTCGTTCCATATCTCATTGGATTGTGTCGGTCGAAAATATTTTGCCGCTTATGTCTGCGTCGCAGCGTTGCCACTGACCTCTCTGGAAATGATGCCGGCACGACGTGCCCGACTGCTGAGGACAAAGGAGAACTCGCTGACCTGCGCCAGGCCGGCCGAGACGATCCAGCGAATGTGACGAGAGCTGGGTGGCAAGATCACGTACATCACCAGCACGGCCATCATGAACTGAGGAGGAGGAGCAGAAACAAAACTGCAGGAGGGCAAAGAGAATTCAATGGAACAGAAGAGGTCAAATGTCAATTATACCTTCAAGATGACAAGCGTGAGTGTGAGCGCAACCAGAACGGTGAGCTCGTACAGTACAAACGTCGGGAAGACGTGAAGTCCTGCAGCATGGAAAGAATGTCGCGTTACGATCGGCATCGTCTTGAAGTCATGAAATGGTGGTGACGCGTATCTGACCGATTGAAGCAAAGAAAATGATGGCGAGGAAATCTTGAATTGGCTCAAAGCATCCCTTGACCTCTGCGGTGACCATGTGACCCTGGGAGGAGAGCAACGCTCCGGCTAGGAAGCAGCCTAACTCCATCGAAACGTCGAGAAACTCGGTAACCTGCATAAGCAAGCATCGAAACGACAAATACGTACAGCGGCCACTTCATCATGCTTACAACCATCAACCACTGAGAATCTAATTTAGGAAAAAAAAACCCACAAAAAAATCATGCGCGTACCGTTAGCATGAAAAAAACGAAGGCTGCAACCCCCAGCACCAGGATCTCCTTGTTGCCTTTGCTCTCAGCGTGCAGTTTCTTGTAAAAGGGGCCGACCACAAAGGATTTGAGCAACACACACAGGAGCAGCACCGCAGCCAGAGACGCCAGGACCTGCGCCAGCAGTTTCAGTACACGCAGGCTTTCGAACAGGAAGCTGCAGCGCACAGAACGGAGCTTCCGGGTTTTACAGAGGCCACGCTTGGTGGCAAGAAGAAACGTGAGGTGAGGTCCAACTGACCTGTCGGCGTCTCCGCTTTGCGCCTGGATCATCGTGGGCATAACGGCGATGAATAGGCCCAGCTGAACGTCTTGCATCACTAACGTGCCAAGGAGTACGCTGCTGTAGTCGAGGTCACCTGCGTCACACGTACACGCGTGCCCGAGTCACGAGCCGCTTCGAAAATGCTGACAGCGTCCATTTACGTTTTAAGATGACGACAGCATCGAAATGAATCATTTCAAAGTACGAGCCGGAGTCTTGGCCCTGTCCCGGCTGTTTTCGAAATGAGTGAGCATTTGCGTGAAAGCAATCGAGTTCATCAGTTTGAACATGAAATATTTGTCTCTGTAATGTTTTAAAATCATTGCATTCGCTTTTTATTCATGTGTAACGCAATGTCCAAACTTGATTGGGGTCGGGGGTTGTGTTTTCCAGGAATTATTTTCTGACCGCAATATTAGGAACAGAGAGAAGACGAGAAGTGGCGTCAACAAATGGGGCCGGCTCGATTTTGAAACCGTCCTAGTCGTTTCATTTTTGTACTTTCTCGTGAGAATGTAGCGATGTGCAGTAGTAGCGAATGAGGAGACGATTTTTGCCAGGGCATAAATGATCGATGAGGAGCCAAACAAATACATGACTCCGTTCTCGATGGACCATTCTGTCGAATTCCGACCGTTTGAGGTCAGATTGACACACTAACCTTCCTTCTCCCCTCTGCTTCCTCCCGCTAAGAAACGGGACACTAATGGGGTGCTGGATAGGGACAAGCAGGTGGCTATGAAGACAGTCTGTATGGGTTGGATGTGCAGCACTCGTCCCCATAGCAACCCGCTAACAACCATGAGCAGACACAGGTAGCAGGAACCCTGCACTGAGGTCTTCCATACCTACACGCAGCAGGTTTCAAATAGCGTCGCGTTAGTATACATTTGATGCCACACGCTCTTAAGACACCCAACTGAAGTCCCAGTTTGTGTTTCACCTTCCGAAGGCGCTCGGGTGAGAACTCCAGTCCGACCACAAAGAGGGTAAAGAACACCCCCAGCTCTCCCAAAGTCTCCACTTGGACCATAGACTGTTGGGAGATCAAATCAGCATTCTTGGTGAACATGAAGCGAATACTTTCGGGGACAGACACGCGCTCACAAAAGCGCACCTTGATGCTGTTGAGACCGGACGGTCCGAGCAGGACCCCACAGATGATGTATCCAAACATGGGAGGAAGACCCACCAGAGTGCACATCCAGCCACAGGGTAGCGACAACATGACCACAGACACCAAATCCTGCAAAACAGATTTAAAATAAATGCGACGAATTATTAGATTCATAGCACTCCGAGGACTGGAAGTATGATGAGCAATGCAGAATTTTGTAGACCCCCCCGTGAGGTGACAAATCAGGTGTAATGTAACAGCGCGGCTGGGACTGACCTTGATAAAATGATGGTCTGCCCTCGGCATGGTGGAATCTCGGGGTTTGGTCAGCACATACTGGTTGTTTTGAGAGTCAATGAGCATGCTCAGGCCCAAGTCCTCTTCCGCTTCCCTCTGACTTGATTTGTTTTTTCTTATGCCTCCGTTCTCTTCATCTTCCTCCACTCTCAGCACCGCTTCGACATTCACTCCTTGCATCTATGAAGCAAAGCAGAGAGTGGGGTGGGGGGCAGAGAACACATCACAGCCTGGCCAACTGTATGGCTTTGATACAAAATTGTATTTGCATTGAAAAATAAGAGGAAGATATATTTTCCAATTTGTATTTTGGCTGCTTTAAGGATCCTACGGACAATTTTGAAATGATTAACCCACAGTGGAGTTAATTGTTCACCTGCTTGTTGTTGTCAAAGGCATGTTCTTCAATCTCCTCCTCTAGTCGGTCCGCTGCCTTCCTGACATCCTCCAGGATCTCGTCGACCATGGACAGAGTCTTATTCCGAGCAAGGACGCTCTTAGCAGCCTCCTGCTGATGCTTCTCCGCAGCCACCAGTTCGACATACTCCTGCTCCTCCTGGAGGAGTCAGTCACAGACAGGAGAGCACAACATCATATAAAATGGGACATCTTAACAGGTCATTATAGAAAAAAAAAAACCAACAACCAAGAACTGTGCTACAAATCTACAAATCAAAAAGTGTGCTTTTGGTTGTCACTCTGCCACCTGGACCTCTTGATTGTAATCAGGTAATATTATATCCATATACTCATTTGTCACCTTTTGTATATTGACAGAAAGTCGACAATGTGGAAAAATTTGCAGTTATTAATGTGGAATGCATTGATGGAATTTTTGCGATCAAGCTTGCGATCGCTTGAGAGTTGGAGATCCAACCGGCCGCACACGTCTTGCGTCTTACAACAGTATTTACAATTCCGTCTGTAACGCCAGATGAAAAAGTTAAGCGTGCAGGCTTCGGTGAATGGGTGCGGCTGACAAGCCGGCTCAAAAGCTGCACGCGCTGTCCTTTTATAAAAAGCAAATAGAGCTCGATAAGGTAGATGGCCGTGAACGTGGCAAAGTACACATCCGGACTCGAATATTTTTTTTCTCAAGTTCAAGCCATGAGGGATTTATTGGGGGAAGGGTTTCCATCTTATGTCCTGCCTTGTCAGAACTGGGGTGCTTTCGCTGCACAACCCCCACCCCTCCTCATGAATGGTTCTTAATTGAGCCCCAAAAAAATTTTCAATGATTCATGGGGAACAGTTCAAAATGATCGACAGTGTGCAATCCTCACAGACCGTTCTAGTTTCAGGACACGTCGGCCAAGAGGATCACAAGAAAGTGAGAAGCCAGATCAGTCTTGACCTAACTTCATGATGCGATCACCTGGATGGCGGCTTCCCTGAGTGCCTCCAACCTCTGCTTGCTACTCTCCTTCATGTTGCCCACGTCTCTGTAGTCTCCCTGCAGCACCCTCTGCAGACTGTGCACCGCCTGGAATACCATGTGCTCGCTCTCGTTCAACTCTTTCTGGAAAACTTGTATCGTATGCACCTGCAGGAAGGCGAAGATGCATGCTTAGTTCAGTAAAAGAGAGGAAATTTTTTAAATAACAGAAGAGATTGTTCGTAAGGGATGTGAGAGCTCAAATTTGGAGGACAAAAATCATGTCAACATAAAATAAGTACCGTACAAACAGAAACACCGTTTTACCTGAAATTGACGCTCAGTCTCTGAAAGGGTTTGGTCTCTCTTAACAGCAGCCGCGGCTTCTGCCAACTTATTTATGACCGCGTTCTTTCGGCGCAGGAGGCTACCCAACCACACGCAGTTGTTGACCAACCAGGTATTGCCCAGTGGGGCCGCACGCCTGCTCTGCCTCCTGGCGCCATGCTGAGCCCTCTGGTTTGTCTGCTGCACATCAGAAGCCACAGCCAGGCCAAGGCACAGGAACAAACAAACAATCTGCATCCAAAGAGGCTACTCGCTCCACCAGTGAGCGTTGAGGGACTAATAGGCCTGAAAATTGGGCATACAAAAATAACAAAGTAATGTATTAAGGACATGTCTGTCATTTGACATATGTAATCGTCTTCCCACCACCACAGAGCAAAACCCTTGAATAAAGTGATGATGACACAAGCAATGCTCGTCCTGCCACCTAAAAATGTCCCCCTTCCCTCCAAAATGACCAGTAGTGTATCTGAATACACCTCCAACCTCACAAGTACTATCATTCATAGAGGACATCAAAATCCATTGACTGGAAAGGACAATAATGAGTTATACAAGACATTCATTCTTATTTCATCAGAAGCAAATTAGGTGCAAGCAAGTTGTCTTGCAATTTTTTTTCCAAGCTGGGAATCTATCAATAAGTTGTCAGCTATATCATTGAGGAAAAAAATGGGATAATTGTTTGTGAGTGTTGTAGGTCAGTCATTGAGCTGCATTGCAGAGCAGTGAATATTTAGGTAAGGTGCGGTTTGAGCTGGTCAGGTCAAACAACCCATGTTTGCTTTCATTACTGAACACCACCCAGTTGCTGAGTGCATTTGACATGAGTGACTATGACAAGTGTTTGCATTGCAGCACGACCTAAATATTAAGAGTGTCTTGAACTCTCAAGACCCCCCCATTGATTGTCCAGGAATCCCGCACATTGCCCTTCACCAGTGCAGTACGCATAAGAAATTCAACTCGTGCCCAAGATGCTTCTCACCTGAGGTGGCATTAACAAAACTGAGTGACGTTAACTTTCCTCACGACAGCCGTCTTTTTTTTCAGTAGCTGGAATACCGCTGGGGTACTGCTGCTTGTGCTGGAGGTCAATAGCACCACTGTTCACAGGCTAGCTGCTGTCGTGAAAACATTCATCCATGTAAATATCTTACAGTTGGAATATGATCTGGTCTGACGTCTAATATCAATTTGTGAGGATATATATATATATATATTTATATATAACCACTTGCTCACAATCCTTTGTACTGACTGCACTGTGATGTAAATCGTCTGGTACAGTCAGTCAGTACTGTACTATGATTTGTTCGGCAAGAGGCGCTTATTGTATTTGGGGCAGTGTCAGTACAGTAAGAGGAAAAATATTTGCTATTGAGAAATGTAGCGAGAAATAGTGACCAAAAAATAACAAGAGAAAAGAAAGTAACAAGAATACGCCTGTGGTGGGTGGATACTTTTTTTGAATGGATGACATTATGAACACGAAAACGGATAATGGCAACTAACGACTGACTGAAAATCAATTGTCCTCATTGTTTCACGAGGAGTCATTTGACGCAGCAACGATTCCGCACATCCAACAGAAAATGAGCGAAAAAGTATGCGATTAAATTGGAAAAAAAATCGGGACAGATCCTACCATCATGCAAAGATGAGGAAGAACGGAGGACGGCGAAAACACATCCAATTTGAACAATATCCAGTCTGAATACATGAATAAGGCAACAGCTACCTGCGAAACCTTATTTGCACTGCGTTGGCTCTCCGGTGGACGACTGCTGAATAATCCGGGAACAATCAGGTTGTTGTATTGCACGAATGGCTCCCCCCTCCTGGCCAGTCGCGCCACATTGCTCAACCAAGCCGGCCTCCATGCATGCAGCTTCCCAGCGTCTCACTTGGACATCAACTTAAACGTTTACTTCCGCGAACCAGCTTCAAGGATAAACAGCAACAGCTGGTGCGAGCCAAGACAGGACAATCGCTCGCTCAGTCACCGGGGTAGGTAAAGAGACAGTTTTTTTTCCCACGATATTTTTTGATGTATTATTCTTTTTTCATAAGCGGTTATAAAGTTTTACCTCTTCTCTCCTTGCGGCTGTCAGACCACCTCGATTCAGCTGAGTCAACTCAACATTCGGTGTACTGTACTCCCATGACACATGAAGCTAAAGCTAACAGAACTTTGCTAACGCCATTAGCCTGCATCAGTACAAACGACCCTTTTTACAGAGTACGTCATTAATCCATCGCTTTAATGCGAAAATGTGGTAAAGAAATGGCCATAATCGACGTTGCTCCTGAATTCGGTCGTGTTCTTGGAGCCATCCAATATTACTTCCGAAACAGTTTTCTGCTTCGGTATGTATGGGAGTTGTAGTTTTGATTTTCTCCCCGAGCAAGTACAGTGCCCCGAACTGGTACAACTACAACATTCACGTCGAATTGATAATAAGAATAGTCATCATATTTTTTTATTTATGTTTTGCGTCTTGTATAATAACTTCAAAGTGCAGTTCAAGAATTGAAGTCGAATCGTAACATTGCTTAAGCAATGTGCTCAAACTCAATGTGACACCCGCCCTCCCCAACCCGTAATTACGAGTTTTATAACCACCATTTTAGAGAAACTTCTATTATAAACGACAACTGCGGAATCTCTCTTCAGTAGTGTCACTACCAAACAATCTTCTATAAAGGCAAAAACATGTTCTGAGGTCATTTTTGTGTGAATAGGCCCACATTGGATTAGTGCAAACCTCGACGTCAAGTCACACGGGTTTTGGACTACACGTCCCATGAATCCACAGTGAACACAGTAGCGCAGTTCTATGGAGCATGCGCAGAAAGGCTAAATAGGTATGTTGGCCAAAACAGCGGGTGATAAAATGGTAGGTACAATTCAAAACGCGAGGCCAGAACAAGTGCTTCAAAATGCAAATGCTGCAACTGTCCGTTCTTCATAATGTGAGGTTTTGCTACACAGTTGACCGTCATTTCTTTAACCTTGAGTCGCACTGGATGGAATATGATGGAAAGGGAAGGTCAGTGGTTGGTATATTTGGAACGCGCACGAGAGCACTTGTGGCACGTACCTTTCCCTTTTTGGTAACTGATGCCCCCGAAGGCGCTCCTCCGGGTCAGGAGACCACTCGGAGGATCCCGTTTGATTGTGTCACGGTGATTGTGCTGTTCGATACCCCGGTGGGTCGGGTTGGCAATTTGCAAGTGATGATCTTCGAGGTTAATTTAGCACAGTGGGACAATTGTGCAAATCACCGGGACGTTGTGTTGACGCTTTTGGAACTCCTTCATCCTATCATATGCCTAACGCGCGTTGTATGAATAAATATATATTCAGCCAACACTGCCTGTCATCAAAAATATTTGCATCCATATCAAATGTGTGCCGCATTTTAGAGGTTGTTTCGCTACAGTTTTTGAAAAATATATACTGTACACAGTACACTTCCATTGCTGACTAAGACTGGGGCGTGGGATATGAAAATAGGTTTTGCAACTCCGCTGAACTCAATCAAGGTGCATTCATCCGGCTTTGTGTTTACCCTGTGGTCCTTGGTGTGGATTCTTCCTGCAGCACAAGTTAAAGTCATCACAGAGAGACAAGGTTCGGCAGTTCATGTCCTTCACACAAGCAGGAGAGAGAACTGCTGTGTACTGCCTATCACAGAATGACTGGAAACTAGAAGTCGCAACCGATAACTACTTCCAGAATCCAGACCTTTACTACAAAGAGTCCATGAAAAATTCAGTAGATCGCAAGAAGCTGGAACAGCTCTATAACAGATATAAAGGTGAGCAGTAGGATCCATGCAGTGACATTGTCAGGGGCTGCTTGCGGTGGTTTGATCGCATTTCCGTTCGATCGTTGCAGATCCCCAGGATGAGAATAAGATTGGCATCGATGGAATCCAGCAGTTTTGCGATGACCTGACCCTGGACCCGGCGAGCATGAGCATATTGGTGGTAGCGTGGAAGTTCAGAGCAGCCACGCAGTGCGAGTTTAGCAAGAAAGAATTCATGGACGGAATGGCAGACCTTGGGTGAGTGATTGTGAAATGGGTCATCAAAATGTATTTTCAATTGCAAATGAAAGCATGGCTTTTAAAAACTGATGTGCAATGTTAGTTCATTACTCTGGATAGGATCCTAATGTTTCAATGAGAATAAAAGTCTTTTATTTGTCTTTATTCCCCGTAGCTGTGACACTCCTGACAAACTGAAGGCCGCCCTTCCCAGACTAGAGCAAGAGCTAAAAGACACCGGGAAGTTTAAAGACTTTTACCAGTTTACCTTTAATTTTGCCAAGAATCCTGGGCAGAAAGGTTTAGGTAAGGTCAAGAGCAGACATTTTTGGTAATTTTTTTTGGGGGGTGGGGGTTATTCAGACTGTTTCTCTCCATAATTCTGAATTTCTCAGAGTTAGAGATGGCCGTGGCTTACTGGAATCTAGTTCTCACAGGTCGCTTCAAGTTTTTGGATCTTTGGAACAGATTCTTGCAGGTGAGTGGAGAAAGTTGTCATGTCGTTGCGCCCCCCCATCATCATTCACTCATCTTTTTTCCCCGCATCTGATGAAATGTTTGCTTACTGCGCTTGGATTCAGGAGCACCACAAGCGTTCTATCCCCAAAGACACGTGGAATCTCCTTCTGGACTTCGGCAATATGATTGCGGACGACATGTCCAACTACGATGAAGAGGGTGAGCTGATGAAGTTGGGATATTTGACATGCACGAGGATCGCCTGATCGCTCCTCTTATATTGTTTTCTTCAAGGGCGATGAATTACGGGACACGACTTGAATAAATCGCCTCAAAATTTTGCATATGAGCTCCGGTGAAATGTAGCTAATTTTTATTTTATTTTTTTTTAATCTCTTCTCAGGGGCGTGGCCTGTTCTCATTGATGACTTTGTGGAGTTTGCACGACCAATTGTAATGGGGGGCAAGAGCGGCATGACATAGTGTTTGACCCGTGCTTTGAATGGACTTATCCCCCAATTTTTTTTTTTTTTTTTTCTGAATTATATCTCTATTTTTTCAACCACATAAGCCAAAAAGACATCTTCAGTAGTCTTGTCTGCAGAGTTGTTCAACGTTGAGCCTGCATAAGATGCCTGCTTGTTCGCGGATGAAGCTGCGCCAAGATGTTCTTACGCCGACTTCAAGTGGACTTGAGAAGTGACGGTCGTCTGGTACTTGGCATTTATGGACAAAACATTCATCGTGCTGCTGCGGACTTGGCTCACTGACCTAAATCTTTTGCACAGCAGCGAGAGTGAGCTTTTGGTGCAGTAGTAAGTGCCGTCTTCCTTTTGTCCCTGAATGGAACAGCACATTGACTCGCGCGTGTTTCTGTCGAACGAAACCGTGCCCTTGGACGATCTCGCTGACAATCACAGTGAGAGCTAAGCAAAATGCGCAACGTATGAGTGGTTTGGTTCGGGTGCATGAGGAGTATTTGAATTTGCTTTTACAATTAATAACATGGTAATTTACGTCTCAATGTGGAATGAGTTAAATATCCAGCTCTGCATTTTGTACTCATATTTGACAGTTGACCAGACGAGTATGCATTTTGAGTTCAATACCAGCAAAATTACAGTAATCACAGTACTGTACCTAATAATTTGTAGTTGTTCCTCAATTGCATACTCTCTTCAAACACAACTGCCTTTTATTTGTCAAGTTTAAGCGACGTGTGAACCGTTTTCTCGTGTCCTGGTGAATGCTGACTTGCCAACTACAAACTGCACTGATTTACTCTGTTTTGCATACTTTTATCACACTTAGCTGCTACATTTTACACCATACAAGCCATTAGTATTTTTAATGTATTTTGTTGACACTATTTGAAGTTTTGGTTTGACTCTCGGTAAGTTTTTCATAAAAGGTCTCTTGACATTGCTGCTGCCATCTAGGGGTGCCTGCGGGCAGTTCAACGGCACCTGCATCAATGAATCTCATTTCCCTGCAAGATCTTGCACTGCTGTCCGCACAAAGCTGTCACCTCGTATGATCTTGAAACCTGCATTGAATGTGAATGCTACAAAACAGGTTTTGTCCACAGTGAGTGATGCCCATGTTCGACAGCACCAGGTTGTTTGTGTACTCTAGTGCGCCGACGTGTACTTTTGGCACACCGTCGGCGTCTGCACACCCTTGTCCTTGTGGAAATATGCAGATGATGTGAAAGCTTATGTAACTGATTGCCGGTGACCTCATTGCATGACCGCAGAACAGGAAAAGGTAACGTTCGATGAGCAACGTGTTACATTTTGTGCCCGTCCTCTGTTTCTGGTTACCCTAAAAGTTTGACTTGGAAAAGGAGAGCGATTGTTACGTCCCAAAAGTGTGTTTGTTTTACACAAGAATGTCAATAAAGCATGCGTGTGAACTGGATTTAAGACATTACATTTAGTAGGGGGGGCGGAGGGGGTCAGTGCTACTAAATGATGAGTGAAATGAGCATGGAAGCAGTCGGGTCACTGCACATGAGCTTGAAGTAAAGGAATCGATTGCTTTATTTTGTGACAGTCGCTCCTGTATTTGTATGCGGTTTATAATCCGCCGTGGTTAATGTGTGAAGCGGGCGCTTTAAAATAGCTCATACACATGATATCATTGGATGCGTGCAAGCAGATCAAAATACAGGCTTGTATACATAAAAATATCCGAGCTCTCCTTTCCAATCCATTACCCCTCCATTTTCTCTTCCCCTCGCCGCACTTATAATTGTGGGTGGAGCCTATCCCAGCTGACTTCGGAGAAGAGGCGGGCAACACCCTGGACTGGTCGCCAGTTAATTGCGGGGCACATAAAGACAGCAAACAAATTCAACCATTCACACTGTCATGCACATTTGTGACAATTTTGCGTCTTCAATTAATGAATGAAGCACATTCTCGGGATGTGTGAGGAACCATCAAGAAAAAAGCCAACTGCAAGCTCCGCACACACGTTTCAACAGAGATTCAAATCAGATTTTCGGCCTCCGAGGCAGACGCGATGACCACCCAATATTCATGAATGCAGTGTCAGTAAAATAAAACTGATCAAACAACGCAGTGCCATTGCAAATACGAGACTCGTTTTTTCAATTTGAGGAGATTATCGGCATACAAACATGAAAAGTCTGGACATGTACAGCACTCAGTACTGCCAGAAACTGTATTTGTGTGCGAGACTTCATGTCTGCTCGGTAACAGTCTCTTATCCGGTTGCATTCCGATTTCGTGTCATCAACCTAGTCATAGTCATCATAAGCACTTGTGGTAATGCTTTGTCTTCTGTTACTTTAGATGTCTGGCTCTGCAATCAAATGGCAACTCACAAGTGTGTGTGTGGGGGGCGGGGGCGGGGGGGGGTGTGAAGAGATAGTGGGGGAGGTTTCAAATCCAGTAACACTTTTGAGAATTTTCTGGAATAGGCAAAAATGAAGCTCAAGCGGAACACCTGGGCAGCACAGCACACAAATGTAAAAGGCGTGTTTGAAAATGTCAGCAAAAGTGTGCGAAGTATTCGAGTCACCTTCACTGAGTGATTGCTCAGATTGAGGATGATGTTTCGGTCTTACTCTCCTCCTCCTGTTGGGGTGGGTGGAATTGCAACAAGGTCCAGCACCAGCTGACGAGCCGCCCATTAGCATCTCTTACAGTGCTTCCATGCCCCATCACGAGCCCAAACCCAGCCACTTGTCTTTTAAACTACGGAGCCAAGGGGGGATTGCCTTTTTAGGAGACACCCGATTCCGGTGGACATACCACGGCTGGCATAAAGAAGCTGTGGATGATAAAACCAAACTCCAATGCGAGGGGCCATCCTTGAATCATAAGGTGCATTTTACGACTGATTTGGACGTGGTACGGACAACTGGTGAAAGCGAGAGGACAGCTGCAATCATGGCAACCTGGTGAAGAAACAATGACGAAAACGCTGTTGGCACAGCAGAAAGTTTTGAAGGAAATTTTGCAGCGATACCGGACCACTTAGTTTTTTTTTTTTTTTAAGTGAGGTGGGAGAGAAAAGCTACAATTGAAAAACCTCGACATTCATTGGAAGTTGTGACCTGAACAGCAAATCGCAGAAGAATGGACAAATTCAAGGCAGGTATGGTTCTAGGTGGTGCCGGCGATGCCTTGGGCTTCAGAAAAGGCCAGTGGGAAAGTTGCCCATCAGGTAGAAAGATCCAAGAAGAACTGGTGTCCCTTGGCGGTCTGGGAGCACTCAAACTGGACCCTGATAACTGGCCACTGAGTGATGCAATGCTAATGCACATGACCACAGCAGAGGCACTTATCACAGGTATGTTTGGGATCCATCTTGAGTGACGATATCAGTTTCTAATTTGAGTAGAATGTTATCGATGAAGCACGTCGTTTATGGATAAAACGAAAAAAGAAAATCAAAGTACAAACCGTGAGAAAGTATATTTGTCCTCACCCGAATGCCATCTTAAGCCCCCCAGAGGATGGCAATAAATTTTTAGGACGGAGGAGTCCAAAATAGCATACGCAAGATTAACTCTGGCCCATGGTGAACAATAGCTGGTCAGACTCTGCTGGTAACAAGGCAACAGTAATATGACGATGACATCTTTTGAGATTAGGTCTCCCCATTTAGACACATTCTGGAATGCCAGCACACATACACACACGCAGACGTAAATCAACACGCACGGCAGCCAGACTGAAACACTAGACCTGCGTTCCCCACCCACCTGTGGGTCGTTTGGGACCCGCACAGAGACATGAAGCTATGATGACAAGAGAAATTCCTCCCCCAGCGACATGGAGGAGGAAGCTGTTGTGTGTGCTATGTCGTCAAAAACTAGGCGATACAAGAAACCCGTTAAATCGTTTGAACAAGTAGCAAAAATGCGAGCGGAATTTGAACACCCTGCCCACGTAAATAATGTATGAGCAGTTTAGTCACTAATAACTAGCCACAAAAAAACAAAAACTAATAACTAGCCACTGTGGCCAGCAGCAGCCGAATGGAAGCAGCAATCAAACATGTCCTCTTTTGATCAGTACCATTTACATGTAGCAATCATGCTAACGCTGTTTGTGGGAGCGTAACTAAAAAGAAAAAAGATTACGTTAACATGATAAGGCGTATTTTTTCTTCTTAATTGCTCCATTTCTTCATACTTATTGGTGTTATTTTATTTTATTCTACATTTGTTGTGCAGTAGAACAATACTGTTTGAAATGAACGAACGTTAATAAAATGTTGAATGACTCTATATTTATTGTCAGTAAGAGTGGTTTAAAACTGGCAAATGAAATGCAATGAAAAAATAAAAAAAGGTTGCCGATCCGCTAAAAGCATTCACTTGTCTCAACCGGTCCTTGACACAAAAGGTTGAGGACCACTGCATTAGACTGCATTTAATCTTCTGACCAGTCAAGTAAAAGCCACTGAAACAAATAGACAAGAGACATGGCTGTGAGATCTGTTTGTGGATCTCATCTGAGCAGTGTGTGCGTTACTGTCTCCACTTGCTCAAGGCGTGCTTGTTTTAATCGGCCGGGTTGTAGGCTGAGGCTAAACTTAGCCCACTTCAGCAACACTCATCTCCTCTTGCGTGCCAATTATGAATGACTCAGAAAGACTCTGCGTTTGTGTGCATGCAGATTACTGGTGTCTGGATGACCTTTACCGTGAGCTGGTGCGTCTCTACGTTGAAGCCACGGTGTCTCTGCAAGGAAAAAACCCTGATCCGGCGACAGTGGAAGCCTGCATTCACCTCAAACCTGACAATTTTCTCCTCGCTTGGCATACACCCTTCAATGAAAAAGGTCTTTGGGGGTTGGGGGTGTTTCTCTTGCTCAGGAAAAAAAAAAAATTCTATTCCTCCTGAAAATGCTGAAATGCAAATGTCTGGTCAGGGTCAGGATTTGGGGGCGCTGCTAAGGCCATGTGCGTGGGTATGAGATACTGGCAACCTGAGAGACTAGACAGCCTCGTAGAGGTCAGCATTGAAATTGGCAGGATGACCCACAATCACCCCACAGGTGATCTATCCGAAAGATGATTTTTTTTTGTCGCGGGAAATGTACAAATATTTCAATTTTCATTTCAAACTATTGATATCAAAGTGCCGTATGAAGATGTCACTACTGCCTTTTCAGGGTTCCTGGGTTCCCTGACAACCGCACTATTTGCATCCTATGCAATCCAGGGAAAACCTCTTGGGACTTGGGGCCGTGAGCTCATGAAAGTCATTCCTCGCGCTGAGGAGTACTGTCGGAAGACCATACGCCATATGGCAGGTAAATCCAAGTTTTGCTTCATGTTTTGCAGAATTCAGTTTTGATAGAGACGGAATGAATCAATGAATGGGAAAACATTTCATTAAAAACCCGTTCGAGTTCAGTTTGAGCACAAAAAATCCGGAGGGAGGCTAAAAGTCTTGGACTGCACGTTGTGGGCACTTATTCAGTCCGTTTCTCTGCAGAATATCAAGAAAACTGGTTCTACTTTGAGGCTAAGTGGCAGTTTTACTTGGAAGAGCGAGAACTGGAAAAAGAAGGTCAGAATAAGCCGTTGTTTGACAATCGCTATGATGCTGAAGAAACCGATAAGGTAAATCCCTTTTATTTTTGCAGTAGAAATTAACTCCGGAGTTCGGTTACACAGCGTAATCTGGTACTACTCTTATTGGCCCAGATGTACAAGCGATGGAGCTCAGAAGGCCGTGCGGGCCGGAGGGGACACGATGCCCCTATGATAGCCTACGACGCCCTTCTGATTGCGGGAAATGACTGGGCCGAACTATGCAGAAGAGCCATGTTCCATGGAGGTAAGATATCACGACATTTGGCGGAGAGCAGACCCAAAAGAAGACCTGCTCACTGAGACTTGTGTGTTATTTTAGGGGAAAGCGAAGCCACGGGCCTCATCGCCGGTTGCCTCTACGGCTTAATGTACGGCCTAAGCAAGGTTCCCTCAACCCTGTACCAGGATTTAGACAAAAGGCAGCGTTTGGAGGAGCTGGGAGAGGCGCTTTACAAAGCGGCATCCGAGGAGAAGTGCATAGACAAGTAAAAGTGCACTTCGCAAGCCCAACGGCTATCAAAGGAACTGCACGACCCAAAGACCCCTTCGTCCCCCGCACTGTCCTCTAGTCCTGGCAGATTCTTTCTAATGTAACCTATCCTCTCTTCATCTTCACCCCCCGCCCCCCCCCATCTTGCTAAAACCACTTATTGCAACAAATCACAAAAAACGCCAAACTTAGGCTACTGCGCAAACTATGATTCGACATTTGTCCAATGAACTAATCAGCATCTATTCCACATGAAGTACTCGATCTGCTCTGATGGAGAATGTTTTTTTTTCACATGTATGGATCGGATGGTGTTTCATTGCTGTGTATAGACATCAACTTTTGCAACCTTTAAGCAAACGTTTAGCAAGCTAAGGATCACCCGAACCCTAATCCCCATTTAAATGCTAACCTGCATTTAAGCACATTTTCTCGAGATCAACGATATACTTCAACAAAAAGCTCGACACGTTATATAAGAGTCTCAAAGCTCTCAATGAGATTTTTTTTTGACATGAATCTCTCCAACTTGCAGCTTGTCAGTACATTCAATTCCGTCATGATCATAATTAGTCAATAACAGCGCTGTGTAGTGCACGTACACTCATGTTTCCAGAATCTGTGATTGTGATTTGAAGAGTGACATGTGAACATGCATGTGAGTTAACACAGCAATGATTAAAATGTAGTTAGCTATAAAAAGCCCCTGACTCTTTTTCTCTTGGCACTTGATTAACAATGAATGACTGTGCTGCTTAATCAACACAAAGCTGGCTGCTAAGCACCTTATTGATGACAGTAAAATCACGTGCATAATACGCATTTTTTTGCCCCCAAATGATCCCGAATTGCGGGTCCGGGGGTATTATACGGGATTGGTGCAAGTAAAGGAGCTTGACCAAAACACGAAAAAAGACGGCAACTTTTAACCATCATTTTTTTTTTATTTTTTATAGTGGATACTGAGATGGCGTCACAGGAGTATTAAAAACGTGCTCTTACACAAATGCAACCAAATGATAATAATGGATACCAGCAAATCAGAGAGATAAAAACTACATTTCAGGTTGATTTTGGGGGAGCGTATTATACACGGGATTACACGGTCAATATTTTACCTTTAAATTCTTTTGAATGTACTGTATGAAAATTAAAAAAAAAAAACCTTTATAGCCATTTACAAAAGAAAATAATAGTCGTGCTGGTCAACTAAAAATGTAATTGGCTCCATTGAAAGAGTTTCCAGCTTCAGTTTACGAACTTTTTTTTTGAATGTACATTCAGATCATTTCTTTGAGGATGTAAGTAGCTTCACTTTAACCGATGGGGAAAATAAAAAAACGGATATCTTTTGTTTGACACACGTTAGGTCACCGCAGAGGAGAAAACTTGATTCCGTGCATGAGGACCGTACTTACTTCAAAAAGCACAGCTAGTACAAAGATAACTTCATAGCCGTGTTCTATCTGCTAATCTGGACATATCAATCACGTGGATTAAGTTTTGCATATCCTCTATTCTCTATAGACCAGATTCTCAGAAAGCCCGTATCAGCCCCGATGCCGGTATGTTGAGGAAGTTACTCAGAGACCGTGCCTGTCGTCCAGTACTCCGAGGGATTCTGGAGAATCTCCTGCAATACCTGACACAGGACCTCGCCGATAGGACCACCAAAACCCAAGACGGGGATGAGCTAGTTTTCAAAACCTCTTTTCTGAGAAAGAGAGGGAGTCCAGAGATTGATCGGAGAATCCAGACTTTGGTTAAGCAGCCTGAACTTAATACAAGTCACATGCCGGTGATTTATGCCCCTGATAAAATGAGCAAAAGAGAGACTTCTGAAAACAGGTGTAAGATCCCAGGAAAAAAATGGTGCGTGAAACCAAAAGAGAGTTTTGAAAGCTTGCCTGGAGGAGGTGAAAGAGTAGAAGACCCAACACCCCGGCGTCTAACCACATTCCGGCTGCTCCAGTCCAAATTCATAAGGTCTACCCCAAAACCGCCTCTGACAAACAGAAGGGAGGTCGGAATGCTTTCATTCAGCGGAGGAAGGGCAGGTGCTCAAAATCACAGGCAAGATGGTGTGCGTGCAATGAGCAAAAACAGCGAAGACAGAAGAGAGCACAAGCGGAAGCGAGGTGGCATCGTCAAAGATACTGTGGCCAAGTTTGCTGTGACCGAGCAGAAGGAAATGGGACTGGAGACGTCAAAGCGGCCAATGAACTCGAGACTCATTGGAAAAGGGATCCTCCTGTCCTCCTTGATGGAGAAATTTGATAACATGGCCATTGTGTCGAAGGGGATCAAATCAAAATGGCCAAGCGAGAGACCTCCTGGAACAGTCAGCGTACAGCAGCGGGTTGCTTGCTGTGAAAAGGGGCACAACCCAGCAATGGATGCAAACGATCTCAAACAAAGCCAAGGTAAAAAAGTGACATCGAAAAGTTTACGTACGTGGTCGAAAGCGAATCAGAAAACAGCTGAGGGGCAACAAAACCCTGAGGAGAAGGTTCGCCTGAACTTGAAAGGAGGGCAAATTCCGCCACATTCAGATGACAACGGTTTCAATTTATTACACAACATCAGAAGTGATGCGCACTGCGGGAGTTCTGGTGAAATACACTGCGAGGGAGAAGAAAATATTTGGACCACGGCAAAGCTGAACTACGCCCGTCAAGAGATAATCCAATTTCGATGTGTAACACGGTGGTGCCTCCCTGGGCCCTGCAGGCTTGTTCTGCACAGTGACGCGCCCCTGAAGTGCCATACGACCATCGTACTACCATGCTCCATCCTATGGTCCACATGTGGGGATTCTTCTCCGAAGCAATACTTCAAGAGTCGTGAACACGAGGCTTCAGCTAGTCCTGACGCAAAACAGATAGAAAAAGATGCACATTTTGGGAGACCTTCCATTGGTACAGACTATAGCTTGATGGGGAAAGAACTGATGGATGACACAAATCGACGCAGACATGCAGCTAGCCAAAGAGGACTGTCCCATTACGCCGTACCACACATTTGTAGATTTGATGCTCAACAGGGTGATGCTCAACACTCAGAATCTCTTTTGGCAAAAATGCCAACTTCACCTCGGAATTGTTCTACAAATCTCACTGGAGCCGGGTTGAGCACAAAGGGAACTTTGCAGGAGTCACGCCCTCTTGACGTCAAGGTACAAAGTGTTCAAGCAACAGAAGAGAACAAAACAGCAAGGACATTTCGGCAAAAACGTGATCAGCATGAAGAAGTTAAAAACGGCGCAATAACAGCAGAAATGAGAGACACGGAAGTCCTACCACAGAGCTGTCAAACATCCGAGCCCGTTGTCGGTATGCTAGCGTCACCGGCTCAAAGTCAATTACCGATGACCAGCAAAACTCAGAGACCAAAGTATACGTCGATAAACTACGGCGACCCGGCTGTCAAACAAACATATAAACCCAAGGTCATACGATTTACTGACACGTTTACCTTCTAGATTGCTGGGAATCATCCAGACGGATGTAACGATAATGGCGATATCGCAAAATGAAAATTGCCGTGATGTCATCGCCGTCATGTTACGTTCGTAAAAGCATCATTTGTCTATCAAATAACGACGGACCAGTATTGTGACCAATTTCCCTACAATATCGTGATAATTATCGTATTGTCAGATTCATATGGTGATAATATTGTAATGTGACATTTGGATATCATTCTCAATTATACATGTGAAATTATAGCATTTTTAATTTAATACAACTGCTGTATTTTGATGACTTGGGCGAGAGGCAACTTAATCAGACCATTTGAAAAAAGGGGGGGGGGGAATCGATTTATTGCAGACAGTCATGAATAAATTTATATCCCCTTCCCAATTTGAAAAATAACTCACTTGACTTTTTCCAAACCATTTTCTATTTCAAAATTGGAGTGAGACTTTCAGAAATGTTGTTTGTGTGTCACGTGTGAAATGTGTGATCATATTAAATGGCATTTCGAAATTCAAGTCATGGAAATAATTGTTGTCGTTGAATGTGTTTTATTTGGATTTGTTTGGTATTTTCCCCCATTAAAATACAAAACCTTGACAACCCGCAAAAAAAGAAAAAAAATCACCTTACACGCATGGAAAACACCTCAACGAGTCGGATTTTGAATTAAAAAAGATGCCCCTAGTTGTGCTTTAGTCCAAAATGTAGTTGACAAAACATCACTGTCCCGTGGACTGTTTGCTTTCTGTTACGGTGCCCCAGATGGGAGAAGCCAAACGACTACTGTACTTATTCCTGTGCCATAAAATATCCGATAATAATGACTAATCTAATCATGATTATTTTTGCTCGCTTCAATTAAGTGGACGACTGCACAGTACAACTTTTTTGTCAATGTCGCCCTCAAGTGGTTGAGCCCAACCCGTGTAGATCGTACTATATTTTAAAAGATGTATTATTATCAGAAGTGCAATGTTTGATCCTCTTTATCACTCTGATTGTATGCATTTTATTGTTTGCAACCTAACTCTTGACCACAATATCATCACGAAAATAGACGCTTATGCAGAAGACGTTCTGATGAGTTTTATCATAACAACGGGTCTTGTATTTGCTTGACTTTCTCTCACTCACACAACTCAAACGTTAAAACGAGTGCAGTATTATTCGTTTTTTAATAGACAATAAGTGCAAAGGGTAGGCAAGAGTGTGTGCGCTACAAAACTTAAACCCGTGATTCTCAAAATGGGTGGGTCGCAACAGGTCGTTCAAAATTTCATGGTACGGACAATCGGACAACATTTTTTCATGTTTTATTAGGTTAAAAACAGCGCCAAAGAAATTTGCGCAAGACACACTCAGTAAAGCACGCTCACTATCCCCGTATTTACAGTTTTGCTTTGGATTTTTTTATACTTATGGTATATACGTGTTTTAAATGCAAATATTTACTCTATAATAGATCAAAATCTACTAATTTGTTGCCATGGACAAGGTAGTATTGGGAGGGAGAAAGCGCGCGATCTTACCTGATTCCCTTGAAGGCACCATGAGATGTGACTGGAGTGTGTGTATGTGTTCGTCGATCCCGGGACGAGCGTCACGCGTGTGTAACCTTCTTTCCACGGATTTCTCCGGAAGCTCAAGGAAGATCTTCAGTTGGCATCGCCAGGCAGCCAACCTGCGGTCTTTATATCTGGATTGCATTGGTGAATCGAGCTCTTCGGCAGGCCACTCTTTGTATTCCGAGGTAGCGAAGAAACAAGCAGCAGGTGCATGTTGTGAATGGCTGTAAAAGTCAAACTTAAAAGTTCTCGCCATATGGCAGCCAGAATGGCGGACTGGGAATCTGCGAAGCAAACAACTGAGCGATTTTCTTAAGCGAGGCGAAGAAAGAAAACGATAAATGAAGGAAAAACAGTTTTCTAACGTGTCCCGTTGTCAAGAATAGCGTGCAGCGTGTAGAGACCTCCAGTTCGAGAGAAAAAACAAACAAACACCTGAAACTCAACCTGCAGCTTTTGATCGAACGCAGTCTGCAAATACACCGGTGGGCAAAGAAGGCAGAAAGGAACAGAAGCGAGGAAAGGAGAAAGCATGGAGAAGAACAAGACGAACTCCACCGGCGACACAGCCAAAGACAGAGTGAACAGGTAACTTGGTAGTTCAACTAAAACTTTTAAAAACTCTCATCGATTTCTACACGAACGCAAAAC